CGAGAGGCAGGTCGAACTTTTGAAAACGACTGCCTTCGTGGCTACTGCTCTGGTGCCCTTCGCAGCAAAAGTGAGTGTCGTGCCTTGTTGTAGTGTCCATTTTGGTACAGCAGAGCGTGAGCAAGCAGAACATGGCAATCCCCCTTCGCAAACACACCGCGCGCCTTGTTGTCGAGCTCCTGTGCCACCGGCTACGCCACAGCGGTTGGAGCAGTTCAAAGACAGCTGTTGGTGCGTGCCTCGATCATCTTCGGTATCATCTTCTGGGTGACATGCTACATTCCTGCCTCCTGTACTATCTGTCCGGAGTTCTCGAGACCCGCCACCGGCATATAGCATGTTAGAGGGTCAGGGTCTTCATGACTGCCGTTGCGCTTCTCAGAAGGATTCATTCTATAGATGGGTGGTCCTCGCTCCAGCGACTCAGGCTTGCAACGACTTTGGTCTGTTGCAGGGAGTCATCTGTGCCTGATTCCAACGCTGCCTCAGCTCTAAATCCCCGAGGGCCGAGGCCCTTCATGTGGACGGGGCCAAAGAAACACCACATCTGTGGCTGACTTTAGCGACAACGCGTGCATGCTAACTCCTCACCACTGGTAGCTCTGGCACCGAAGATCACTATGCGAGCCAGAGCTCAGAGTCGACAAGGCTTTGGTAGCTCTGCCAGGGGGCGAGGCAAGAAAGTGCCAAGATGCCCGTCTTGCAAAACTTCGTCTTTGATGTGTGCGCGGCATCCTTGGGGCTCGTGGAGCGCGTGCACGCGAAAATCACTTGCCAGTCTACATTGCCACAAACCCAAGTCGAAAAGAAACAGTCAGCGAGGCTACGGAAGTATGCACTGGCTCCTTCCTGTTTTGTCAAAAGTATGCGCGTTATGCTTGTGAGACACACTTCAGCACCTGCGGAGATCTGCAATCTCTTGCCGCAGATCTCTGCTGGTGTGCTCTGGGAGTGAGACAGCCTGCAGTTGCTGCCCTGCTTCTGCATAGCTTCGTCGGGGTTCGTCATCAGCTCGCCATAAAATCTTGAAATCAGAAATAATTGTCTTCTGGACCTGGTCCTGCTCCTCAATTTGGAGGGCTCTGACCAGCAGGGACACCCACTTCTGGCGCTGAAGCTTCGTCAGCGCGCGCAGAACGCTAGGAATGTGGCTCGCACACTGGACTCGTGCAGCACGTCGTCCATCCGGGCAATCATGGCTTCGGCAATCAGTTGCCACACAAAAGGCAGGCAACCAAACCCATAGTTCGCCACAAGATAGTGTGCGGGTTGCTGACAGATTTATCTATGCGCAGCAATGCACAAGCAGATCTCGAAGATTTGCACTGACGATATCGTGGACATCAGTTTCTGGAAACTGGCTTCTGTCTGCCCACGCCAGACTCATGCACCACCAGCGGCCTGGAAGAAATGTGCATTGCGGCCAAGGGACATTCGAAGAACTTCTGCTGCCTGACATCCTTGGCAAGTTCGGCATCGAAACCATCGCTGCCAGCAGCTTCCCATTTTGATGCGAAATCCACGATTGACTCGGACCTGCGGCTCTTCGGAACTCATGGTGCGCGACCCCTTGTGTGTCGCACAGACATTGCCCACAAAGTTGCGCCTGTCCAACCTGCCCATTTCGGACAGGTGCTGTATCTGTATCAAGACCTCAGGCTGCACGATAACGTACGTCCTAATTCAACAATGGATTACGTTGTCCTGGGCACAAGCGCAAAGCATCGCAAAGCTCCCAGCCCTGGGTTCGGCGGTCTGCCGGGACGTCACTCGCCACTCCATAATTTCATCCACCTTCGTATCCATCCTCCGCCTACTTCTTGCACCGGTTCGTCACCGGATCGATTTTCGTGGCGCAGGTTTTACAAGCAGTGTAAACAGGATCCCCCACGACATCGACGAGCCACGGCCACTTCCAGTGCCAACTGCTGCGAAAACAACAGCTGGACCATTGGCCGGCAGTGCCTCGGAGACGAGCTGAAAATGGCATTACGGTCTTGCAAAGCATCGGTCACGTGCGCATACGTGCGCCAGGGCACCTCCAGGCTTCCAGCTTCTCCAGGACCCCGGAGACATGGCACGTCTCGTGCGATGTTTTGCACATCTCTTGGAGAGGGATGCTTTGCTAGGGCTGCAGCAGACAGCACGAACATACAAATATCATTGGATTGTCATGCATATATACCATGTTTATGAAGTTCACCGGAGTTTCAAAAGTAGAGTTGCAAACTAGGGTTTGCTCGCTTTCAAAATAGCCCGAAACATATTTGGGCAAAGCAACATATGGGACATGACTGATAAAACCTTTAGCAATCAGTATTGCCCAAATGCTATGTGGGCCTGAGAATATAAGGAAAGCATATAAAATTTCAAGAAGCGGCAAGCTCTCTGTCGATGTTTTCACTCAGTGGCACACTGGGGTAGAAGCATTCGTTTTCGGGCCCCTCGGCCCGAAACTGGAGCCACTGCTCCATTGAAGCGGTGTGCACGGTTTAACCGTCCGCACTCTTTCATCATCATCATAATCCCCGGGTTGGGAGGGTGGGACAAAATTTTCTTCTCCAACAGCACCTTGAGGAGAAGACTTTGCATGACAAAGCAAATCATGATTCCATCTCACCCAGGGCATGACGAGTATAAAATTGATGACAACATGTTTGGTAAAAAGAAGCGAGCATGAAAACAAGTTTTCATGCCGAAGGTCAAAAATCATGTTTGCTTCTTCTCTCTTCTCTTTCTTTCTGTTTCTTTTGAAACCGCCCTCCCATGGAAGGCTATCCGGTGTTTCATAAAGGGGTATCGCACGCGCACGACAACGTTCTTATGAAGTTCACCGGAGTTTCAAAAGTAGAGTTGCAAACTAGGGTTTGCCCGCTTTTAAAATAGCCCGAAACATATTTGGGCAAAGCAACATATGGGACATGACTGATAAAACCTTTAGCAATCAGTATTGCCCAAATGCTATGTGGGCCTGAGAATATAAGGAAAGCATATAAAATTTCAAGAAGCGGCAAGCTCTCTGTCGATGTTTTCACTCAGTGGCACACTGGGGTAGAAGCATTCGTTTTCGGGCACCTCGGCCCGAAACTGGAGCCACTGCTCCATTGAAGCGGTGTGCACGGTTTAACCGTCCACACTCTTTCATCATCATAATCCCCGGTCTGCTTTAGCACGCATGAACGATCGACTTCAGAGAGACTTTTGACAAAGGGCATTTCGGATGCTCCACGGCCAACTTCCAGGGAGCGAGCTCTTTGAGAGATCCTCTGCTAGGTGCATCCGCAACATTGGATGCGGAGGCAACTCTGGCGATCCACAGATAGCAAGGCTCGACCTCCAAAGGATTCTCTAAGACCATGAGGATCTCTCGCCACGTCGGTACTGCAGCATCGCCTTTCACGAGGGCGTCAAGCGCAGGCCAATTGTCAATGAAGAGCAGCACCCTCTGGCCCTCCAAATGTTTACGCCAGTGGCGGAGCGCAAGGATCGCCCCGTACAATTCCACGAGGCCGATGACATGGTGCTTTCCATCCGACCTCCCGCGGTGTCGGAACCTGGCAGGAACATTACTCCACCGATTGTGGCCGGGCCATGGTCAAGATTATCATCCTCTCAGGGCCCCATCGGTAAAGATCACAACAGGTTTGGCCCGCCAAGCTGCCTTAATAATTCTGGGTTTGCCATGCAGTAGGCTTTGCCTCAGGATCTGCAAAGCAAGACGGCCGCTCTATAGAGTCCAATGACACTGAAGTTCGAGAAGCGAAGCCGAATGCCCGGAGGTCGCGAAGAGCCATTCGCCCTGCGCGCCCCCAGATCTGGCCATCTGCGAACTGAAGTTTTCCTGTGAAGCTGGGCAAGCGACAAGGAACCACGGACCTGGCTTTTATTGCTTCGTCAAGAAGAGCTTCGAGCTCGTCGCACCTGGAGCGTTTGTTTTTGACGGCAATGAAGCCATCCTGAGCTCCGGAGACGTCCAAGGTGACGCCTAGAACTTCCACCTCGGGGGCGAAAGGCGGCATTTCTCATCTGCAAAAGCAAAACCGGTCAACTTAAGAAAACCCTTAACAAGAGCCGCGGTGGACGAGGCCACGAGCGAATGTGATGCCACTGGGTAATCGTCGAGGTAAGCCGACCAACACACGCCTAAGGAACAGCCGATGGCATGCAGCAGCAAGCTCACTCTAAGGAAATGATAGACAGATGCCAACGCGCCGAATGGCAGGGTTCGCATGATGAAACACCGCACCTCCTGCGATGTAGGGTCCTTTAGCGTAACCACTGTCTGAGCAAAATCCTTAGGCCTTAGGACTCAAAGGCAGTTGCTTATACGCTGATTTCAGATCGAGCGTAGCCACCTGAAGTGAGGTCCCGGCCTTGGACCAATCGGGATGGACCAATCCTGTCAGCCGTTCTCCCGAAGACAGGACAAAATCCACTGCTCCTCTAGTGCGGTAAAAGTGGCACAGCACAGTCAGTGACCACAACAAGTGATCTAAAGTATCTAAAGCTTGTAACACGATTCTTTCGCTAGTAGAGCAAGACTGATTGGGCCTCAAGCGACCCGTTTGCACAACGGCGAATCGCCGAACGGGAAGCCAAGACTCGAAGCGCTCGCTAATCTCTTCCGGGCTGAAAGGACCTTCCAGCCAGTGCTTAGAAGTCGCTTCTTCCAAAGTCGTGGCGTACAGCTCCTGAGAATTTTCATCGGTAGGATCGTTGGCGACTCGGTCTAGCAACTTAGTCCTTATGTCGTGGGACTTATCCATTAGGTCGGACTCACTAAGACTAAGAGAAGCGATGTATCCGCCTTCACGAAAGACCCCCGAAGGATTAAGACGGCCAACCAACCGGAACCCTTGGCGCATCTCTGCAAAGAGAGACTTATCCGGCCACTGGATTTCAACGGCCATCTCTTCAAGAAGAGAGGTTCTTTTTGAAGACAAGATTTCTTTCACTGAAGGTGGCATCTTCTCGTGGTGGGTACGCTCGGCGCCTGCAAGAATTGCTGCTCTTTCTCGCCATTTCTGCAGTCTCAAAAGACGCAGCTTGCACAGTTTTGCGGGGGATTTGGACCCCCTATTCTCGGAACGCAACTGCCTGCTGGCAGCTGGCACACCATGGGTGTCGTGCTGCAAGCATTGCTTGGACGAAAGCGGGGGCATTCGAGGCAAGGTGCGAGAGAGAACCGTGGCATGCTCGGAAATCAACTGAGGGTGAAGCCGTCCGCGTGGTTGCCTGTGGGCCCTGGTGGCTGAAGATTGCGGAACCGGCACAAAGTTCAATCACAAGAGGCCCTTCATCCGGGAGTTCGGCATGTGGGAAGGTAAAGGCGCTGAGTCTGTAGCCACCTGTGGGCACCTGATGTCATAGCCTGTGATGGCATATAAGGCGCCATTGTAGGGCCGTGTTGCGCCTCGCCTTGGGGTACCCGAAAACCTAGGTACTAGGGAGGCGAGGAATTTCCGCGCGTCCGGGGCTAAACCTGACAGGCGGCCTACTGAGAAAGCAATCATGCGCTCATGTTTCCACGGCAAGGTAAAATGTTTGCAGTGCTTGGCCTCAAAAGCCCAGGCATGGCTAGCGCAGTCCAAAGTAAAACCCTGCCAAGCGACATCATCATGAACCTGACGTGAGGGCCCGTCCGGATGCACGACAAAGATTTCCCCCCCTGTGAAGGAAGATACCAGTACTATCACATTTGGCACGCTGCTGTTAAAGGAATCTTGGTGCAATGGGGCGTGGAGGTTGCGATGCACTGATACTGAAGTGAATTCAAAAAGAAGGCGCAACCAGCTTGACACAAGCACACAAGAACTTTGCAACCGAGGGCATGCGCCTTGTGTTGTCGCGCACCGAAGTCACGCCACCTCGGTTGCACGCGCCGACGGTGATGGCCTTGGAGTTGCCAGCAGGGCTGGCCCAATCGCGAGTACCGCTTTCCGAAGGAAAAGCGTCCAAAATGGAAACAATGTTGTCTGCACTGAAGTCTGAAGTCTGCAAAAAGTGGCTTGCAAGGGAATCACTCAAGGCATAAAGATCATCGGTCTTCGCTGCTTTGGTCGGCGGCAGCGGAGGAAAATCATCTGAAACCATATCAAGAGGACGCTTGTCGGAAGAGTCCAACTCTTCCAATGGGCGCGGCTCCTGATCTTCAGCCGCCAGCTCACCTTGCGCCTCAGGCGAGGGTGGGCCCGGCTGTTGCGTCATTGACCCTAGTCATGACGTCGACTTCTTGTTTGAGCAATCCTTTGCCGGATGCCCCCTATGGCAGTTTTTAACTGCGCATAGGTGTAACCCGCGTTCGCACCGCTAATTAGCCACAGCTCGGGAGCACTTTCCCAGCGAGAAGTCGAAGCATAAAGCATGGCCTTTGGGAGTTGCCGCAACGCAACCCCAAGCCAGCAACTCAGCTGGCACGCGAGCGTTCTGCGAGCCTTTGCCCCCCCCCTTCGTCCCTCGGCCGCGCCCCAAGCCTTTGCCCGGATTTCTAGGGCGCTTCGTAGGAGGCTCTTCTCCCACCGGCGTTTCACGGCCTGACGGACTGGCAGCAAGCGGCCGAGGATGCAACATCGAAAGAAAATCGGTGCTCTCGAAGACCTTGCGAAAAGCATCGTCACAAGGTCTTGTGCCGCTCGCACTTCGAGTCTGTTCGGCTAGGAGCGGCTAGGAGCAAAATGAACTGGCGGTCGGCCTGCTCGATCTGCTTCAAACTAACCCTCGCATAATTGGGAGGGGGGTCAGTCAGCCGAAAGAACATGTACTTTTCCAGCAACTCGTCATGTAGCTTGTACGCGAGGATGTTTGCCTGCTCAAGGGCGAGGCCTGGCCTCGCCTCACCAAAGCGTATCTCACCATCATGTCACTGGATGAGTCACACGGGGCCACATTTGGCTTGCTCGAAATCTTGAGTCCCCCAGCCCCGTCTAGCGTGAGAGAGGCGTCCTTCCTCAGGCCAGTCAGCAGCTCATGTTGCCTGCTAACGCAATGCTGCCATTCTATGTACTGCAGTCTGTCAGACTCGTACACAGCTACGGCGCGATCGATGAGGGAGTCGCCTGGCTCCAAGTTTCCCTTGAGGTCCAGACCAGTCAGCCTGGCCTGCTGCTCTCTCAAGCGTTCCGCACGGTCGGCGGGCGCTAACTTCTTAATTGAAGAATCTTCCGTGCCTGGGCTTTGATGTCAGAGGCAACGGTAGCATACGCCTCGGCGAACAGGCGCCTGAAGCAGCTCATCTCCCTGAGAGATGGAGGCTCTCCTAGAACCTTGGTAGCGGCTTCGCATCAACGGCCGACGGATTAAAATGGCAGCAAAATGCGAAAGTCGCCATCGTAGTCAAGCCCCCATCCTCGAGCTTGGCAAAGCTGGCTTCAGATGTGCCTATCTCTTTAGCGCGGGCCTTGAAGACTGCCGCGCTCTCCCCGAAAGACATGGCTCAGCAAACTAGGAGTTCAAAGTCGCACGAGCTCGGGCCTTCCTGAGCAAAATGATTATGGAGGCATCATCCACAGGGAGAACCGTCAAAGACATCACAATGCTTTCGGCAGCCCACAGACATTCCCCTAACACGACATCGGTATGGCCTCCAAGCTCACGACCTTGACAAGTCGAGTCAAACGTGATTCGGCCCAAGCCTCAAAACATGTACTGCAGAACAGTTTATCCGGATAGCAAAGACACACCGTGATAAACCAGATCAGACGTGACTCAGCCGGAACCAAAAGTCATGTACAGTATTATTAAGGTTCATGCTGGACACAGCCACAAACATTCTCCGAAGGATCTCAAAGGCGGCTCGTCACCGCCTAAGACAGCAGCTTCGACTTTTACCGAGACGCCCCCCGGTAGTTCGAGATACAAAATTTTCGAAGAGAATTCTGCTCTCTCAAGCACTTGGAAAGCAAGTGGGGCAAGTCGGATACATGAAGCGAGGAGCGGCATCCAAAATCTCATATCGAACTGAAAGGGGCCTGCCACACTTGAGGTGTGCGCCGGCCTCGTCCCGCACCTTATGCAGGAACCTAGTTTGCTTATGACGTGCCCATGGGCCCTGTCCTGGGTCAGGACCCCATTACCCCGCAATCTGATCCATGGCAGCTTCCTCCTCGCTCAAAGGGGTCTGACGCTTCACTTGAGCTAGAAGAGATCGCATCGGCCTCCAGCTCGCCGGAAGTGTCACCTTGGTTTGCAAGGTTAGCAATCATTCCAGAGATCGGGCTTGAAAGCCCCCGCGGCGATCTCGCCAATGGTCTTGTCCAGTTCCCTGAGAGGAGCTGCGAGGGAATCCCTCGCGTATATAACAAGTGACTTGTCTTCCCTAGGCACGTGGTATCCGAGCATGCTCCGAGGTCCTGCAGCCACGCCACGCTTTGCAAGCCAGGAAAGAAGAGTTGCTTTGCAAGAATGCGTAGCAACGCGCGCTTCGGGTGCACCTTCGTTTGTCCCTGGCAAAAGAGCTCTTAGCCATGCGCCCCCATGGCAACCTTCAGAGGCAACCTGGTCCAGCCACCTCCTGAGGCAGGGTTGGGAAGGACCGGATAGGAAGCATCCAGACCTTGAGCTGTCCTCAAATCCATCCAAGCCCTGACCCACGGCCTTGGTCCCACGCACATCAGTGGAACAGCGATTGGCAAAGCTCTCACCTTGCGCTCGAGAGAAACTGAAGTTTTCGTCCTTTCAGCTTGTCCCTCGAGGTAACCAACCTCGACACCATCCTGAAGGACAGAGTCTATGGCAAAATTTGATGAACGCTGCATGTCGCTGAACCTCAAGCGGCCGTAGGTCCTCAAAAGAAAAGCTCCTGCGCCACACGATCGCTGTCCTTTGCGGTCGTGCTGTGGACAAGGCCTTCGAGTCATGTACTGTCACAGGAGGCCTGCGCTTCACTGCACACCGGTTTGAATAGTGGGCATTGGCAAGCCCGACTATCCTGCCACTAGACAGGGCATCCTCCTTAATTGCAAGACCGAGCAGGTGTTTCGCGAAGCTGAAGGCAATCAGAAGAGACCTGAAGGAAGTTCGGGCGGCATCAGAGTTTGCCTTGCAGTAATCATACAGTTGATGCTCGCTGACAGGGAGGCACACAGCATTGTGACGCTTCCAGAAATGCACGTACCTGAGGATAGGTCCACACGCTGATGCATGGTCGAAGTTGCCTTGTCAGCAAGGCAGTCCTGCACACTCTCGACAAGACCTCCGGTAGCAAACTGCTGATTGAAGGGTCCCAAAGCTTGCTTTGCCACTCCCCAAGCGTTGAAATCCAAGGAAACAAGCGAGACCCACTTCTTCAAAGCGCTTTTACGATTATCATCCAAAGCCTTAGCCTTAAGGTGAGCATCGCGGGCCGAAAGGGGCTTGAGGCCTGCTGCCAAGAATGCTGACTGAGATGCACCTAGATCCGGAGCGACCTGGCTGCTCCCTGAACCAGCACCAAGCGAAGGAGGCAAAAGACCCGAGGGCCTAGGCAGGCCTTTTTGAAGACAGTATGCATAGGATCTGGCATCGAAGGCAAAAGGCTCCCCGGCCTTTTATACGCATTCCAAGAGTGCCTGGCATGAAAAGCCAGAGCTTCCTTGTTCACTCCAGACCCCAATTTTTCAGCTTGACTGCCACTCTCTGACATGTTGCCGCGCTGAGATCAAGGCAGGCCGCGGCAAACAAGCACGAAATCGCTGATGAGAGTCAGGGCCAACCACGCAAGGGCAAGGCTTATGTGCTCGCTATGATCAAAGCAGCAAGAGCTCAGGGCTGCGACGGAGGCTGGGCTAAGATAGGCCAGCAGAGCACACGTGAAGGGTGGCTGTAAGACACACCAAAGCTCGTCCACGGCGCTAACACCCGTGGACTCCCTAGTGGAAGCGAGGGAGGCCTGCGCCTCCTCCTCCTCCTCTTCCATCCGCTAGCCCGCACTCCGCACGGGCTAGCTGCTAGCTTGCACGGGGCTCTAGCGGCAGCCCTGATTTAGGAACCTGGAGCCTTGTAGCTTGCAGCTTACAA